GCCCAGTTCCTCTACATCCCCATGAGCTACCTGCCCACCTGTGTGGTGGACGCTGTGATGTGCTGGTTATCCCCAAAGCCTGTGGGGGGTGACTGAGGTGTTTCCTGTGTTGACTTTGCTATTGTGGATGAGGGAGGGAGGGGAAGTGGGCAGGGCCTTCCTGTCAGTGAGGCTGGGAACCTCATCCTAGGGCCTTGTTGTGTAACAGAAGTGCCGGTGTGCACGAGATAAATCAACACCTGTGCATGCCACACTCAGTTTACCACGGATATCCACTGCTACCCTTCATCACACAATGACCCTCTTGACCCACCCCACCAGCCCCTTTCCCTCTGGTAACTACTAGCTTGGTGTTATGTGTGGAACGCTTAAGCCTCTCATCTGTGTGTGTGTGTGTATTTAAAGATGTATTTATTCAGCCCTCCCTGGTGCTGCAGTGGGTTAAAGTGCAGCACTAAGAAGCTAAGGCCACTTCAGCATGAGTTCAGTCCCTGCCCGGGTGCTGACCCACAGGGCGTGGCAGACCTCTCTCGGCCCGCCCACTGCTCCCCTCAGCAGTAGGCTTCATCAGTCGGCCTGTCCTGCTCCCCGCTCTGTCTCTGGTGAATCCTCTCACCACCCCTGCACCTCTGGCCTATACCCCAGCTCTGTATGCAGAAATAAATAAATCTTTATTAAAAATTTATTTATTCGTGAGGAGCAGAACAGGCTGATGGAAAAAGTCCACTGCTGAGGGGAGCAGGGGGCGGGTCAGGAGAGGTCTGCCGCGCCCTGTGGGTCACTCCCTGGCAGGGGATTGAACTCGTGAAGCAGCTGTGGGCAGCTTCGCAGTGCTGCCCTCCAACCCACTGTGGCACAAGGGGCCTCCTCTGTGTGGTTCTTTTTCCGTTGTACCTGAGTGGAATCACCTGCTCATGCCTTTCTGGGTCTGACTTATCCACTATCCCACGTGCCTGAGCGGTACCTGTGTTTTTGCAAACAGTCTCCTTTTCTGACTTTGGGAGCCAGAGCCCAGGGGAGCACTGTCTTGGCCAGCAGTCAACAAAAAGGCCAAGGAAGGACCAGTCCGACCAGGTCTCTCTGTCCTGGGTCTAGAGATGACCCCTGCTTGTTCCGTCTTCTCAAGGTCTGGGGTTGTCCTGGCCTCTTCAGCAATGTTGTTGGCCCTCTGCTAGCCAAGATGCCTGGTCTGCTGCCCAGGGAGTGGGGCTGGCAGTTCCAGAGGTGCCCTCCTGACCCAGCGCTGGGTGGGCTTGAAGTAGGTGCGGCTGCCCCACCTCCTCCCACTGCATCCTTACAGGCTGGGGGCCTACTCCTGGCTGGGTCCAGGACGTAACGCCAGCCCCTCCGCGCTTGGTATACCAGGGCCAAGTGCTGCGAGAATTGTCCAGGCGGCCCCTGCTTCGCTGACTCCGGGGCTGACCAGGCCTGGCAGATAGAACAGCCTTGAAATCCGTTCTTGGTCCTGGGTCTGCGGCCAAAGCTGGCCCGCTGCCTGGTGGCACAGAAACCGCCAGCTTTTGAGAAAAGAACCAGTTTAATGCCGGGCCACCTGTCCGGGCCGGAGGCAAGCTCTAATCAGGGACCGGGCCTTGGGCCACACTGGCAGTGTCCAGGGGTGAAGGGACAAAGAAAGTATTTCCTAAGTGCACGTTGGCAGTCTGAGTGGCTGCTCTGCCTTTCCGGCCTAAGTCCAGTTTGCCTCCAGCACGACCAAACCCAGCCCCCACGCCCCTGAACGTCCATTAACCGGAGCAGGGGCCTTCATTCCGACTCGCGGGTCATTTCGGGTCAGGCAGAGAGAGGGCCCCTTGCCCAGAGCATCTCTCTGAGCCGCTGTCTGACGGTCAGTCAGTCTACGGAAAATCTTCCTTTTCTTCATCTTGGTCTCACTCATTCACTGCCACAAGCCCACAGCGGGGGAACAGGGAAAGAGCCCCCAGGCCAGCACGGCCCCCCAGTTACTCCAGGCAACCCTGTGGCACATTTCATTAGGGGGGTCGGACCTGGGCCCAGTCCCTCAGGATGAGCTGAGGCAGGTGAGCCCCGAGGTGCAGCCAGGGGCCGCGCACACGTCTGTCCCTGCATTTGGGCCACCCCGGGGCAGCCTCTCGCCTCACTGCCCACAGCCTTATCTCTGCGCTGACCTTCCTGAGAGGTCTTTGCTCCATGGCCGGGGATCTCTCTCTGCTCTAGGCCTGACCCCGAAAGGTGCCCACGCCTGTTCCCGGCGCCCTGCCCCTCTCACGCCTCAGCTCTCCGGACCTAGGACCTGACCCTTTCTGCAGGGGCCAAGGACACGTGCCCCTCCCGCCTGCACCTCAGTGTTGTGAGGTTCAGCCTGAACGCTCTAGTCTCCCGCCTGTGCTCCCAGGCCCAGGGCCTCCCCCCGACTTCTGCCACCTGGTCACCTGCCTGCCACCCACCCCACACCTTAGCGTCACTCGTCACTGCCTCCCGCCTGCACCGCACATCCGATTAGCTCCTGTGCCCTTGACTGCATCACCCCGTCCTACGGCTGTCACCAGCACCCCCGGCTACCAGCCCCCCAGGTCCTAGGAGTCTCCCGCTGGGCGCTGACGACTCAGCCCTACTCCCGGCCTGCCTGGAGCAGGGCGCAAGCACCAGACCGCACAGCCAGCTCCACCCCCGGCCCGGAGCCCCGGAGCCCTCAGGGCTTTCTTCTCGCTGGGGGTGGAGGGCCCTGCTGTCTCTGGCCTCAGGACAAGGAGTTGCATCCGCTTCGGGGGGCCTGTTGGTTCCAGATCCCTCTTCATGGAGACTCAGCTACGCAGTGATGACCTGGAATTCGCTCCTCTTAGGACTGGGGGGCACATAACCAGTCTTTCTCTTTTTCTTTCTTTTTTAAGATTTCTTTATTCAGGGGCCCTCCCCTGTGGCGCAACGGGTTACAGGGCAGCCGCCGTAGCACCCCCAGCCAGGGAGGGACCCCAGGGCGCAGCAGACCCCTCCTGACTCCCTGCTGCCCCCTCAGTCCATCTGCCTGTCCTGCTCCCCACTCTGTCTCTGGGGAGTCCTCTCAGCCCCTGCACCTCTGGCCTGTGCCCCAGTTCTGTGTGCGCAAATAAATAAATTTGGTGAGAGGATTCCCGAGAGACAGAGTAGGGAGCAGAACAGGCAGACTGATTGAGTCCACTGCTAAGGGGAGCAGCACGTGGGTCAGGAGGGGTTTGCTGCCCTCTGGGGTCCCTCCCTGGCCAGGATCGAACTCGTGCTGCGGTGGCTGTGGGCAGCTTCATAGCTGCGCTTTGACCCCTGTGCCCAGGCCCCCCCCCTCATTTGGCCGCCTCAGGCCACCTAAGTGGGCACCACTCAGCACCATTCTCACTGCTGGCGTCTTTCCCATCCCGGCGCCTCCTCCCTCATGATCGCAGGGAGAAAGAAGCTGTCACCAGGGCTGACCGAAGTGACAAGGCTTCAGGTTGGACTTGAATTTCTTGCATCTGGCTAATTGGCATGGTGCTGCATCCACCTATAAAAACTACAGTGGCTCACCCAGGGCCTCGCGTGTGTCGCCAGCACCGGCCCGGGCATCTCCCTGGCCAGTCCCAGCAGACGGGTTCGGAAGCCCAGCCTCTCGCCGTCTTCTCGGCCACCAGCCCTATGGCGGCCCTCACGGATTTCTCCTTCATGTACCGCTGGTTTAAGAACTGCAACGTGGTGAGCAACCTCAGCGACAAGTATGTCCTCATCACGGGCTGCGACTCGGGCTTCGGGCACCTGCTGGCCCGGCAGCTGGACCGGCGGGGCATGCGGGTGCTGGCTGCGTGCTTCACTGAGGAAGGCGCCCAGAAGCTCCAGCAGGCGACCTCCCACCAGCTACAGACCATCCTATTGGACGTCACCAAGAGTGAGAGTGTCCAGGCGGCCACCCAGTGGGTGAGGGACCAAGTGGGAGAGCAAGGTGAGGCAAACAGGCGTGCTTTGGCCTTCTCTGCTTACCGGGTTTCCCTCTCCCACAGACATCTGACTTCAGGGACCCTGCTGCTCAGAGGGGTGGGGAGAGTTTATGTAGAGAGTGGGGCTGGGGCTCGGGCTCGGGGACTGGAAATGATTGTGGCCTCTTCACAGGAAGGAGGAATTTCCCAAGGAACTTGGGAAACTCTTACGGGGGTGGGGGGAGGCCCCTAGGAGGTGGGGGAGAAAAGATAGAGTCTATATGTCAAATCTTTAAAGACGAGGGGTCCCCAACTACCAGCTGCTTAGATATGTAAGCACATGGTGGGGAGGGAGAGGGGAACACGAGGCTGTAGCCCCTGAGCGTGACTGTCTGCTCCCCTCGCCTGGCCTGTGTCTGTGTCAGGCTCGCAGCCACCCAGAAGGACCCAGGCTCCTCCTCTCTCCATGGCCGGTTGGCTGGACGACAGGAAGAGTGTCCAGGAGAGGCAGCTTCTGTTGGGAAAGCGGCTGTGGGCTGGGCTGGGCAGCAGGGTGGAGACCTGTTCGGGGAACTTCCTGCATGCAGGGTGTGGGTGCAGGAACGGGATGAACAGGATGGCTCTGTTGTAGAAGCAGCAGCCCGGGGATGTCCAGACTCCCAAAGGAACCACTCTGGGACCCACCCACATAGGCTAGGTCCTCTGGGACCCCAAAGGTGCCAGAAGAAACTCCCTGCTTTATTTTTCTTTCAGCATTTATCACTACCCAATATACAACTTCACTGGTTTTTCTTATTTATTGTGATTTCCTGGCTAGAAAAAAATGCAGGGATGGGGGGTGGTGTTTGGTGTCTTTTTCTTTTTTAAAAAAGGTTTATTTATTATGCACACAGAACTGGGGTACAGGCCAGAGGTGCAGGGGGTGAGGGACTTCACCAGGGACAGAGTGGGGAGCAGAACAGGCAGATGGACAAAGTGCACCGCTGAGGGGGCAGCGGGGAGACAGGGAAGGTCTGCGGTGCCCTGTGGGTCACCACCCCATCGGGGGATCAGGGATCGAACTCGCACTGAAGCGTCGCGGTGCTGTGCTTAAACCCGCTGCGCAGCAGGGAGGCCTCTCTTTTTTTAATGCATCTCCTTAGTGCCTAGACCAGCGAGTCCATAAATATGTGGCTCCATAAGTATCTGTCGAATGGACTAATTAAAACATTAGCAGGAAAAGTGAATCTTTTTCTTCTGCGCTAATGCATTGCCCGACTGGAGCCTTGAGCCATTTGCGTTAGTGATTCATGATGTGCATCATTTCCTATTGATACTTAATCAGTGAGTACGGACTCAGTATCTGTAAACACAGACTCACCATCTTGCAGTTCCGGAGGTCAGAAGTCCAAGTGAGCGTCATCAGATCAAAGTGCTGACAGCTGTGCTGCTGGGGCTCGGGCCAGCTCACCCCATTGCCTTTCCCGGCTTCTCGCGGCTCAAGGCCACCCAAGGGGGGCTGAGGCCTTTCCACGCTGCCATCTGGCCTGCCTCTTCCACTTCGAAAGGTCCTTGTGATTAAACGGGGCTTACCAGACCAATCCAAGATGATCTCCCCATTTTAAGATCAGTTGAGGGCCTCCCTGGTGGCGCAAGGGGTCAAGCACAGCACTGTGCAGCTGTCCGCAGCCCCTGCAGCAGGAGGTCAATCCCCAGCCAGGGAGGGACCCCCAGGGCGCAGCAGACCCCTCCTGACCGCCTGCTGCCCCCTCAGCAGTGTGTTTCAGTCAACCTGCCTGTTCTGCTCCCCGCTCTGTCTCTGGTGAATCCTCTCACCCCCCACCTCTGGCCTGTACCCCAGTTTTGTATGTATAAATAAACTAATCTTTAAAAAGAAAAGACCTTAATTCTTCTATTCCATATAGTGCACTAAAGTCACAGATTCCAGAAATCCATGTGGGGACACTGTTGGCACCGAGCATTATTTCGTCTACCCCCACTGGGCAACATCCTTGGTCAAAGAAGCACTGGGACATGGGGGAAAAGGTGTTCTTGCAATTAAGATTCCTCATTGCTCCCGAGAGTCTCTGGGCATGGCAGATGGCATAGCTCGGTGGCTGTCAGCTTTGCTCTGACAGGTCGAGGTGCTTTATGCAACAAAGAAGGTCAAGGTTGTCCTGGTTCCCCAGCAGCTGAGCAGTGTCCAGGGGGCATCAAGGTAGAGGTGAGTGTGTCTCTGCCCCACAGGCAGAGAACCCCAAGGCTGACCTCCTGGGCCGCAGGAGCCTCGCTTCCGCCTCTGGGGAACAGGAAGTACTTTCCAACTGGAAGGTTCTGATCCTGCCAGCCAATGGGTCTCCTGGGGTCGCTCTAATTGGATGAAGGCAGGAAGACGGGGCGGGAGGTTGGGGGGCAGCTCGTGTGGGGCTCCCAGCAGGAAGACTCTGGGTGGTGTTTACACAGCGATCTGTCCTGTGTACAGAGAGAGAGGAGTGTCTAGGAGGCGCATCTTGGGGCTTCAGGAGCCAAAGTGGGGTGCGGTGGGGGCGGGGAGCAGGGTAGGAGCCAGAGCAGTGGGGCTCATGGAACCCCTGAGGGAATATCTGGATGTTCTCTTTCAGGATCATGTAAATCCCAACATGTTTTAGCATCAAACACCCCGCCCCAAGTGGAATTTTGCTTGGAGGGTGACTATGTCGAACAAGTAACAGCAAAGCTTCCCCTCCTTCTGTGGGTTCTGGGGTTCAGGCTGGAAAGCTCTCAAGATTCCAAGCTACAGGTCCAGTCGACAAACAACCTGAGATCCAGAGAGAGAGAGAGCAACTGGTCCGAGGCTGGAGCCAGGATCAGAACTTGAGGTTCTTCTGCATGTCCGGGCCCTGCAGAGTTCTATCGGTTTCTACCACTCAATGGAAACATGTCACATTTTCCATAATTATTTTCTTCCGGTGTCTTCTGTTTTCCTTTATCACTATAACTCATTGCCTCTCTGGTTTGTAAATTTGAAAAATAAGACTCTGCTGTGTTCATTTTGCGCGTCTAGCACCTTCCTTTAACGGCCACAGAACAGACGCGAATGAGGGTCAGGTGTGAGTGGGTGGGTGGAGGCGCTGTGTGGTGACGTGTGAGGTGGAGCCAGGTTCTTACTCTTAGGTGAGTAGCAGGGGTGAAGCCCAGTGGGGGGTGGGTTCAAGTATTAATTTATGGGTACAAAAGTGGTATCTGCCTTCCCAGGGCGAATTACCTAGGTACTGTTCTCTGCACCCCATGCTAGCTGGCACACTGTGTGAATCAGAGAAATTGCCCCTTTAGGGAAAACAAATTCCTTCAGGCTATACTAGCGCCCCCCACCCTCCCCAAGCCTGATCAGCTTCCGCCTTGGGCACTGGCTCCGTCGCCCTTGGCACCCCTAAGCTGGCAGGCCGCGGACCTGGCGCTCCGTCTGACACGCTGACTTCTGTGTGACTGTCTCTCCCCCTCTCTGTCACCCCAGGCCTCTGGGCCCTGGTGAACAACGCCGGCGTCGGCCTGCCCAGTGGCCCCAACGAGTGGTTGACCAAGGAGGACTTTGTGAAGGTGATCAACGTCAACCTGGTGGGGCTGATCGACGTGACCCTCCACATGCTGCCCATGGTCAAGAAGGCCCGGGGCAGGGTCGTCAACATGTCCAGTTCCGGGGGGATCGTGGCTGCCATAGGAGGTGGCTACTGCGTCTCCAAGTTCGGCGTTGAGGCCTTCTCAGACAGCATCAGGTACCAAACCACTCAAGACCAAAGGTGCTCTGGGTTTCCCCTCAAGAAGGGGCGGAGGAGGCCCCCCTGGTGGCTCAGTGGGTTAAAGTGCAGCACTGCCAGCTGGCCACAGCTGCTTCGGTGCAAGTTCACTCCCTGGCCAGGGGCTGACCCACAGGGCGCGGCAGACCTCCCCTGTTTCCCCACTTCTCCCTTCAGCAGTGTACTTAGACAGCCTGCCTGTCCTGCTCCCCACTCTGTCTCTGGGGAATCCTCTCACCCCACCCCTCTGGCCTGTACCCCAGTTCTGTATGCATAATAAATCATTTTAAAAAAAAAAGATGAGGAAGGGGTGGCGGGTAAGACCGCAAGCGAGCAGGGGAGCCCCGGAAACTCACAGAGTGCAGAGGAACGCTAGGCCTCAGGGCCTCCACAGAGCAGGGAGGACAAGTGAGGAGGAGGAGGGGTGGTGGTGGGAGGCTCTCTTCCCGCCTCCCCTGGGATTGTTCCAGAATAAGCAAAACCCAGCTTGGGCCTGTGGGAATGGGCAAACAAAGAGTCCTGGGAGCAGAGGTATTGCTGGGAGACCGAGAGAGGAGATGCAGGCCTTGCCTGGACCCCTCGCCCTCTTTGACAGTGGGGTTGGGTGAGGAAGGGCCTGGCAGGGGACAGAGCTCCCCTGCTTCCCCCGTGGCTGGGGTTGCCTGAGGTCACTTGGCCAGAGAGCCGCGGCCCTCAACCAGGACCGGTTGGCATGAAGGCCAACCGGAGCTGGGATGTGCGCCGGGGTGGGGGCCGGCAGGCTCCGCAGACAGAGGCCATCGGGGCGTCGGCCGACACGTCCCTGCGAGGCGCTGTCACCCGGGCCCATGCTGAGCGGGTTCTCCTTCCCCAGGCGTGAGCTGCACTACTTCGGGGTGAAGGTCAGCATCATCGAGCCGGGGAACTACCGGACAGCCATTCTGGGCAGGAACGGCCTGGAGACCAACCTGCGCCGGCTGTGGGAACGCCTCCCGCAGGAGACCCGGGACAGCTACGGGGAGGAGTACTTCCTGACCTGTGAGCTGCGGCCGCTGGAGGGCCTGGAGGGCGGGAGGGCCGGGCTGCCCCTGACAGGTGCGAGGGTGAGGCTTGCGGGGTTGAGGGCCAGGCTGCAGAACCTGCAGCAAGCTGGGGCTGAGACTAGCGCACAGGAGGGCAGGAGGGGCGGGGGAGCCCATGGCTGCAGGGGAGCAGGGGGCGCACATACCCTGAATGAGAACCAAGGGGCAAGAGCCCTCTCAGGAGCACAGCTGCTTCAGCCAGACGGCGGGTTGCGTGCAGCTCTGCCCCTCCCGGCTAGGAGGCCTTTGCCTCGGCTCTCTCATGTGATGCCCCGAGGACAGCGCCTTCCTCCCCGGGCTGCTGGAGGCTCCTGTCCGGGAAGTCTCCGCACACGCCAGTGCGTGTGAAGCAGAGCAGACGCACATGAGCACTGAAATGGGGGCGCCCCAGGCGGCCCCCTCGAGCCTGGGGTGTTCGCCAGGGCAGAGGAGGGCCGTCACGGCTGTTTCCTGCCCGCCCCCTCAGACTTTACGCAGTTCTTTCAGTTTGAGCGACGACCGGAGCCCCGGCCAGTGGGGAGTAAGAGCAGGAATGGGGTCGGGGAGCAGAGATCTCCCCACTTGGAGGAACAGGGGGGCCCATGTCTGCTTAGAGCGTCCAGCCTCAACGCTGAGCTGGCCTGTCCACAGGCCTCCCAGTTCTCTGCTCTCTGGCGCCAAGGGCCTAGGCCAGCCCCCCGCCCCCCACCAGGCTCAGAGCCCCGCGTGAATTCCCGTGGAGGCATCTGGCCCAGGTGTGCCGCAAGCCGGTAAGCCGGCTGGCACCTGCGCGGGCGCGTCTCTGCTTTGGTAGCTGCTCTGTGACCTGATCGCCCCTTCAAAGGCGGGTGACACCGTGCCGGCCGGGAGGTTCCCTGGCTCTCGCCCGCTCCTGCTCCCTCGGGCCCTCCGCGGCCCAGTTCCACTTCTCCTGACTCAGATTTGCTTCTCCCTTTGACTTGACGTTCATGAAACGGCCCCGAGAGGCCACTGACTGTCGCCTACGAGCTCTCAGGCGCGGAAACCAGGGCTCGGCCCAGATCTCAGCTCTCCGACTCGCCTGGGGCAACTTACTCAGTTTTCTCATCGGTGACGAATTATGAGACTTCAATGAGCTAACCTACATAAAGTGCTTAGAATATGACCTAGTCCCCAGCAAGAACAATTATTTCCAAGTTGCTGGCTTTTCTCCTCCCTTGGACAGAGCATGACCTCCTTCCCCCACCACACTGGTCCCACGAATCACGTGTACTTGAGCTCCAAAGCGAGATTCTCAGCTCGTCGTTATCCCACATCCCAAGTGACGACTTTTTGAAATATGCCCAGGTATTCTGCATGGGTTAAATGTAGTCGCCGAATCAAATCCCTGGCAGGTGGCCAACTGTCCGCGGGGGGTCATTTTAGTGTCCTGTTCCCCTGGACATCGTCCATCAACAGAGCGGTGCGCCGGGGTCGTGACAGTTACTCACTTCACACACATTCACTGACCGTGCCCGCCCGCTGCCGAACGTGACCTTGCAGGGCTGGGAGAGGAGCCGGCACCGCACGCCACTCACTGCCTGTAGTCGAGGGGCCTTGGGAGAGGCAGGCCGAAAGTCACGCAGGTGGCACGCTAAGGGCCGAGGGTGCCGCGGCGAGAAACAGAAGAGGGCTGGGGGAGGTTGGCACTCATGGTGCCAGGGCGGGTTTCTCCGAGTTGACTTTAAGGAAGAACAAGTTAACAAGAACGAGAACGAGGTGTTAGGGCGCATAGACAGTACGACTAGAGGGAGGCCCGGAGGCAGGGCCCACTTCTAAAGATGCCATTGTGGGAGCACCGGGGGCTCGGGGGCTCAGGGTAACCCAAGGCTAAGCTGCAGAGTGTGATTTGAGCTGACTTGTGATCAAGACAGGCTGCACCGTTTGCTGCGGCGTTCCAGGCTAGACAGGGACTGGAAGGAAGGGGAGAAGGACTCGCCTTATACCTGGTGTACACTCCACCTCCCAGGCCTCACAGGGGACGAGGCCGTCAAGGACGAATGCCGAGGGTAGATTCGGCCTGGGGGATGGAGGCGTTGTCATTTAAAGAAGAGCCAGGGGAACCTTTGGACTATCCCTGGAGAAAGCAAGCTCCTACTTCCAGACACACTGGAATTCTGTGAAGAGAAAAACAGCCAAGGATTTACATCAGCTGGGACTTCCTCGGTCACAGTGACAGAAAGTCCAGCCCAATAATTCACGCAAAAAGGCCTGTCTTGGTTCGCGTGACTCGGAAGCGAGGGAGCTGGGCTCCAGGCCCAGCCTGACCAGCCCGCGAGGGACGGCCCCGGGCCGGCTTTCTCCCTGTTTCTTGGCTGTGCTTGCATCTCCCAGCTCTGCCCCTGCCGCGACACGTCGGTGGCGTCTCATCTCCGTCCAGGGCGGGTCCTGGCCAGCAGCTTCTCCCGAAAGCCCTGACAGTCACTCTGACCTGGTGGCCTCTGAACGCCCGGCCGGAGGCCATTATCAGATGCGCTGCCAGGGCCTGGCCGGGCACTGGGAGACCCGCTCGGCCAGCGGGGAGGACTCGAGCGAGAGGCAGCAGCACCCAGCGAGAAATCTGCAGCCGTTGCCCCAAACGCAGCTGGGGTGGCGTGGGCAGTGACACACACTGTGTTCACACGCGCCCTGTCCCTTGGCCAGGAAGGCTGTGACGTTTGTACCAGGCGGGAGTGAAGCAGATTTTGCCAGGGTCTGCAAGCCCCACCGAGTCAGCTTGTGAGTAAGCGGCGACCCGGCGTCGTCACCGCAGTGGGGAGAGCGTGCACAGAGGCAAACGTGGGCTGAGAGCCACCTGCCGGAAGCCAACACCGTGTGGAGGTGAGCAAGGACTAGATGTAAAAGAACGTGAGGCTGATTCATCTCACACCCACCCCACGATGTCACTGGAAAATTTTTAGGGTGACATTTGACTGCTTTTAGATAAACACCTCCCCAAATGGCTGGACTCTAATTTTCACTTCAGTTTGACTCGTGTTTACCAGGATTCAGAGGGAGACTAAGTCGCTGGGAACCCAGCAATGGGGATCAGAGACAACCCAGCACGCAGGGAACCGCGCCCAGAGGCGACAGAGCTGGGGTGATGCCCTGTAGGAGCCCTGCGGGAGACCGAGCAGCAGCGTGGAGCCCCGACGCAACACTGGACTCCTTCCGAGACAGTGGGGCAGCGGGGCTAGCTGACGGCGGCCCCCCGAACCCCAGCTAGGTGCTCGAGTCCTACACTTCAGCGTCTTCACAGGAAGACTGCAAATTCCTGCTGTAAAGCAGGCTCCTCTCTGTGAATTGTTACGAGCGTTAAATAACATGAAGTGCTCGTCAAGTAACAGGACCGCAGCGGACGCTTCACCAACATGTCGCTTCTAGGCTGGCCTGGTGCCCTGTGATCGGGTCTGGTAGGAGATGAAACTCCAGAGCCTTTGAGGACTCTGCGAAGGAGTGTGGCTCTTCAGCCGAAGGCAGCGGACACCCTTTCAAAGGGCCCTGGAGTGACCCAGCCGACGCGCGTGACTGTGGGAAGCTGGGACGCTGTTGCAGAAGCCAGAGGAGGGATGAGAAAGGAAGGCGCTGGTTACACACATCACGGCAAACTCCAGCACAGGCGTGAGGCCCGGCAGACAGACCTGGGCGCCCCAGGGCCAGCTCAGTCACCCTGATGATGTTTAACTACACTCAAAGAGAGCCGCTAACGCACAGCAGCATAATACGGGCACATCCCACAGAGGGAGCCGGACTCTAGCAGGTGCCCGAAGCCAATATTCTTGTCCTGACGTCTAGAAGTGAGCCGCAGCCCGGCGTGCTTAGCGCTGCTGGGGGCGACGCAGCCACCTGCCAGCCTTCGTCCTCGTCCCGACCTGCCGGGGAGGCCTCCACCAACCCCCCTTTGGTTCTCTCTCTTGCTGCGGAGGGTTAGAACAGGCCCAGACTATCTCTGGTCAAGGAGAAGGGGTGGAAAGCAAGTCCTGGCCCCGCTCGGCGAGGAAGCCCATCCTGCCACGTTACGGACCGTCTTGCTTCAGCCTCGCAGTAACCCAGTGTCCCCCCCGGGGGCCGAAACCCAAAGCTACGTTCTCCCTCGCTGTCCAGGAGGCGGACGGGATTGAATGGCTATTTCTGCTCCCTGTCCACTTCGTGTCTGCCAAGGTACTGGTCACCAGCCAGGAGCTCAAGAAAGAGCTGCCAGAACGAGGAAGGAATGTGCTTGTGTCCTTCCCGTCCGGATGGCTTCTCCCGCCCTCGCGGCCTCTCTGGTGCTCAGACCTTTCAGAACCTCATTCCAAAGCCGTCTCATCACGTCTGCTCGCCTCGCCCTCCTCAGCCCACACGGTTCCCCGGCTCTGAGGGAGCACCCAGCACCTTAGCCAGCCCGCTGGGACCTGCTGGCCTGTGCCAGCTGCCGGCTTCCCGGCGCCACACTGCTCCACAGCCGGTCTAGCTTCAAGTCACTGTGGCTCTTACGGGGGGGACCCCAAATACCCCTGGTTCACCACAGCAGTCCCCCTCCCCTCCTCGCTCTCTGCCTCCCTTCTTTCTCGTTTAGCTGACTGATTCTTTATCCAGTGACACAGGCACTGTCCACAGCATTCATGCTTTGGAATCACATCGTCTGACTAAAACTCTAACAAATGTTCAAGGCAGATATTTAAGAAACACAGACGTGAAGCAAGCTTGGGCCCCACCCAGGCCCACCACCTCTGTCGCGGGGCTGGCTGCAGACCGTGGTCCCCTCCAGGCTGCTGCTATTCCCTGGTGGGGCGGGATGGGTCCCAATCCTGGAAACGAGGCCTCGACACCCCAGGAGAGCTGGGGCCTCCCGCTCGGTGACTCCCACTCACCTGCATGGCTCTGTCTAGGCTCTGAAGGCGCTCCCCAGAAGCTCACCCCGCGCCTTCTCTCTGCCAGGGACCCCTCCAGCCTGGCGAAGCTCCCCCATAGTGAGGGGCTGAACTTGTGTACAGAACGCCTAAGTGGGACGTTGGCTGCGTCCTTCCTTCTGCTGCAGGGCCGATGACGCCGCCTAGGCCCCTGGACCGAGTCTAGTTTGGTTCAGCTGTCTGGTGGGCCTGTGGCTCCATCAGCTGGCCCTCAGGCCTTTCCTTCAAGGTTCCTTTCAGCTCTGGATCTGGGTCCCATCTCTCAATTCCTTCACATGAGTGAATATGATATTTTATTTTCAAGGAAACGTTGTGCAGGTTTCTTTCCAGGAAACATACAGGGACTCCCTCAGGTTGAGGCCGAGGGATACTGAGACGACTGTCCTGCTGTCCTCAGCTGCCCGCCAGTGTCCTGTGCAGAGGGGCGAAGCCCCTGCCCTTAGACCATTGCTAGAGTTGACTCAAGTTTCCGTCCCTTAGCAGAGGGTCTCGCTGCGGCACTTCTCCGCAGCTCTGGGCTCCCGCTGACACAGAGCAATGCTCACCTGCCCTGTCAGGTCCTGAGGCTCCGCTGGCCAGAGCCCGTGTGTGCGTGTCCTGTCTGCCGTCTGCGTTGCGAGCTCTGACAGACTCAGGCCACGGAAGGCCTTGTATTCGTCTCCATATTCCTAGTGTGATGCCCAGCAGAACAGCCCCTCGTATTTGTCAGAGCCTTGTAAGTGACCTCTCTGGGCCTCAGGTCAGTGGAGTTCCACGATGGCCTAGGACAAAGGCAAGAGCAGTGCTTCTATTTTTTTTAACAAAGATTTATTTATTTATGGATACAGAACTGGGGTGCAGGCCAGAGGCGCAGGGGCAGTGAGAGGATTCAGAAGAGTTGGGAGCAGAACAGGCAGGTGGATGAAGTCCACTGCTGAGGGGAGCAGCGGAGAGATAGGAGGGGTCACTGCGCCCTGGGGTCACCCCCTGCCCGGGATAGACCTGCAGCTAGTCCATAGTGCTGTGCTTTAACCCCTTGCACCACCAGGGAAGGCCCTCGCTCCTATTTTTTAATAACATTTTCCCCCTGTATGCTTTTGGAGAAAATGGGAAAACCCTAAGAAATGCCTAAGGGGGAAAAATGCCTCCAGTGACTAGGCTCACGCAAGTGATGCTGCGTGTTTACTAATTTCCTCCTAATTTTCGATGTGCTGACATATTTCCCATCCTGCCCTCCCCCGCTCTACGCTCCCTGAGGCAGCATTATTAGATGACAAAAATTTAAGCTCAAGGTCACTAGCAAGTGGCAGGAGCAGGCACAGGCTGTCACGGCCGGCCCCATGCAGTGGCAGGGCTCCTACTGCTGAGCCAGGAAGAGAGATCAGACCCTTCTAGAGAGCCGGCGGGAGGGGCCCCCGCCCAGCGCGGGCCCTCCGGCAGACCTGAATGTCAGCTCAGGGATCTGCTGGAAATGGGGCCATGCAGTGGCAGGGCTCCTACTGCTGAGCCAGGAAGAGAGATCAGACCCTTCTAGAGAGCCGGCGGGAGGGGCCCCCGCCCAGCGCGGGCCCTCCGGCAGACCTGAACGTCAGCTCAGGGATCTGCTGGAAATGGGGCCTGGGTGGGATCCAGACGAGTCCACCTTTCATGAAGAATAACCGAGCTTTTCCCCTTTGTGCCCTCAGACTCTGAGAGGTTAATAAACACCATGCGGCTGGCAGACCCCAGGATCAGCGACGTCACCAACAGCATGGAGCACGCCATTGTCTCCCGGACCCCCCGCATCCGCTACAACCCTGGCTTGGACGCCAAGCTCCTCTACGTCCCCTTGGCCAAGCTGCCCACCGCTGTGACAGATTTCATCCTGAGCCGGTACCTGCCACGGCCAGCAGACAGTGTCTGAGCTGGGAAGCCGGGGGCTGTCGGTGGAATGGAGAAGAGAGCGGCGGGCGAAGGGACGATGGGTCGAGAGAGGGACTTCAGATGTCCGAGGGGACACTGTGGCTGACACCACGCCTACCACTGGTGAGTCTACTGGTAACTTCGGACAGAAGGCGCCTGCCGCTTCCACCCACTGAGCCCCACGGAAGCCTGACGGGGCCTTTTCACGTTCACAGAACTGCAGCATGGCCCCAAAGACATCTGTCATCCATCCAAATGTGGCTTTTTCTGGTGCTTTGCTATTCAAGGAGAAGAAAACTAGCTCCTGCTGAATCATGAGCCTCTCTGTTGTTATTGCATGGGAATTATGGTAGGAAAACCTAATGCATGGAGAAGCCCAGCTCTTGCCAGCTGGGCCTCTAAGAGTCACTAGCCTTCAAAACCTCCATTATTTGGAGCGTGTACTAGGCCCCTCAGGGAGTCCAGATCAAACCAGGTAAAAGCTTGTGGTATTTCTTCTTTCTGTAGATTTCTTTATCCAGAACCACAGGAAATAACATTCATTTATTGAACCATCATTGACCAATTGATCAAAAATTTTTCAAGTGTCAGCTACACACTAGACATTGTATAGATGCTGGAAGAATATAAAGAAGATGAAATCATGGTCGTGGGCTTTTTTTTATTGTTTATGTTGTGTTTGTTTTTTTTTTTTTTGTTCTAGCACATTATCTAGCCACAGATACAGAAGAGTGATAAAAGAATCAGAAATCAGAAAATTAAATTTTGAGAGTTGTGAGAAACCTAGAGGTCATCTAATCCAGCAGTTTCCAACTTGACTACATCATAATCATCAGTTAATTAAAAATACAGATTCCTGGGTCCCAGACTAGAAGCCCTGATGCAGCAGGCATGAGCAGGGCCAGCAATCGGTATCTGTAACAAAGACCTACATGAGTGTGATGTAACTGCGCCCTTGGCAGCTCTGGAAGTTCCACAGAAGTAACCAGAAATATTCAGAGAAAGGTGCGACCTCCCAGCCTAGTGGTCCAGACAGATTTTCAGGCTTGGGGTTAGCTGTAGAGAATAAATCTGTGAAATTAGTGGCAATGTCAAATAAATCCTTGAACTAAAAAATTTTAAAAAGACTTTTACACTTCTGAGCCATATGGAGTTCTACTGAAAGACTCTTCTGATCCTGAAGGGTGGCTCGCAATAAAAATTTTCACACCTAATACTGGTATTGCTGGGTCAAACAAGATTTCCATTTCTATTTCTTAAGACATCTGTAGGCTGTGTTCCACAGGGGCTGTATCGGGAACTCCCACCCATGTGGAGGACAGTTCTTTCACGGCAACCTCGCAAACTTGTTAATTCCACTCTTTTTTTTTTTTTTTTCAAACAGGCCACTCTCACGGGGGTGAAGCTCTGTGGTTTTAATTTGCATTTCTCTTATAGTAAGTGACGATGAAGATATTTCCATAAGTCTGTAGTTCATCTGACACGATCTATAGGTTTGCCAAATGCAGCTTGTACAATACTGAGATAAATTCCATTTATTCCTTTTCTTTTGGAGGGTCTTTGTCATAAATGGATGTTGGATCTTGTGAAATGCTTTCTTGGGATCTACTGAGATGATCATGTTTTTTTTCAAGGATTTATTCATTTATGCGCACAAGAACTGGTGGATAGGCCAGAAGTGCAGGGGCTGAGAGGATTCCCCAGAGACAGAGTGGGGAGCAGAACAGGGGATCTACTGAAACCCACTGCTGAGGGGGGCAGCAGGGAGACAGGAGCGGTCTGCTGCGCCCTGGGGGACCCTCCCTGGCTGGGGATCGAAGTCTAGCTGCAGCAGCTGTGACAGCTTCATCGTGCTGAGACTCAACCCTCTGCACCAGCGGGGAGGCCCAACAAGTGTAATATCTTTCATTTGAAAAACAAAAAAACACATGAGCTGGAAGAGGGCGCCCAGAAGCATTCTCCAGCTTCCCGTGTTCCCAAGCAGCGCAGCTCCCTTCCCAAGGGCCTCTGGGCGAGTTAGGGACGCCTGCGAGAAAGGAGCCTGAGTCGGGAGGAGGAGCGCTGGCTGCGGCCAGTCTGCACAGGGGACTGAGTTGCAGACAGGCGGGGCCTGCCTGACATCTGGTCACAGGAGCTGGCCGCGATGGACAGGGCCAGGGCAGGAGAGGAAAGGCGCCCCGTTCAGTTGGGGATCTGAATACACTCACTGTTCCACTCTTGACCTCCTGGTCCAGGGTCACCGGAAAGCAATGGCCGCCGTTTCTGTCAGAGACGGAGCGCAGCACCCTCGATCCCGGTGCCTGCGGGCCGCTGCCAGGGAGACAGGCGCCACAACACTCCAGGGCCTTTAGCCACCTGCAGTAAAGGCCCTCACCGATGATTAGCCGTCCTTGTTTAAGTCGCTCTAGAGCAGCCAGTTCGAGACACGGCTGCTGGGGCTTGGGGCTCGGCCCTTCTCGGACCAGCTGGCTGAGCTAGCAAAAGCGTGTGTGAGAGAATCTGTCCCTGTCCTGTATTTTCAGCCATTGTGGCAGACAGAAGAGAATGTGGCATCCCCTGGCACTGTCACCAGACCGGCCCCATACCAGACGCAGGCACTAGCTCCTGGCTGACACTGCCTCACACGGTCCCAGCGCTGAAGGCCCACAGGCACAGAGCAGTATGCCGGTCAGCACTAAGAAGCTAAAGCCACTTCAGCACCAGTTCGATCCCCACTCCAGGGCTGACCCACATGGCGCGGCAGACCTCTCTGAGAGCCCGCTGCTCCCCTCAGCCGTGTGCTTCCTCAGTGGGCCTGTTCTGCTCCCCGCTCTGTCTCTACCGAATCCTCTCGCTGCCCCTGCACCTCTGGCCTGTACCCCAGTTCTGTATGCATAAATAAATAAAATCTAAAAAAAAAAGCCTACCCTTTAAAACCTCCCCACAGCTCCTTTTGGGGAGCCAAGCTAAAATTCTTTTTCAGCACCGGCTCCCTTGTTCACCAGTCGTTAATAAAACCTCTCTGGCTTAGCTGAAAATCCCTACCCACATTATTGCAAAAAGCAAGAGGTTTTCTCTTTTGATCGCTGAGTGAGATTCCATTGCGCACAAACGCTACATTCGCTTGGTCCACTCGTGTCCTGGGGGGCATTTAGGTTGTCTCCTCGTCCTGGCTACTGGAAAGAGTCTTGCAAAATATGCAAGCACAGGTGTCCTTCTCAACTGGCGTTTTGCGTTCTTTGGGCAAATACGTAGGCGTGCATGTGGGCCCTTTGACAGGCACATTTCCAGTGTCTCCGCAAAGCCCCTACACGTGTCCCCACAGGGGCTGGCCCTGCTACACTCCCACAGGCGAGTGACACTATTTCCTTCCCTCCACACCCTCACAGGCACTTGCTGCTTGTCTTGCTTTGTCTTGTTTTTAATGTGGGTCACTCTCACGGGTGTGAGAGGCCTATCGTCGCAGCCCAGGCCTGCACTTCCCTGGGGAGTGCTGAGAAGTGCGCGTGTGCCCTGCTGGCCTCGTTCTTCTCTGAAAGGCTTGTTTCCTTTCTGTTGAGTGGTCCGAGCCCTTTCAGATCTTCCATATCAGTCCCTTGTCAGAGGAACGGTGTGCAAATATTTTCTGCCACTCAAGAGGGCATCTGTTTGTTCTGGATACTGCCTCAAAATCGATACTCTTAGAAAAATGATGAGGACACACACACAGGTTACATGGGCACACGGAAGCCACAGGCCTCCTTCCCCTTCCACTGTCCAGGTCACCGAGGCACCACTTTGGGTTTTTCAATGCATTACTTTGGTATTTACTTCCACATGTTTAAATAACATTCTCATGTTCCCTTTTTCAGAATCTGGGTAATTTCCTTTGCTCTACAGATGATCAATACAAGTCTCAACTACAGGTGAGCTCTTAGCCCACAGATACAGTGCTAGATGATCGCATTATGGAAGCCGCAGGCGTGCATTAGTAAAAATGTTGGCTCCATTTTGGAAGTCCTTCTCACTAAACTGACCATCCTCCCTTCTGCCCTACATTTTACAAACCCCCTCTCAAACATATTAGCGGTTCCATAAATTTATCTTGTATAATTGTTCCTTGAGCAGGGGGAGAGAAACCATCCAGGCTAACAAGGTGCCACATCCTGGCCATTTCCAGGAACGAGGGAGGAGGAGGCGATAAGCACCTATTGATGAGAGATGAATAGGGTCGCCCACTCTGACTTCTCCAGGCAGCTATCCAGCGGTCTCTGGGCTGTCCCTTCACTGTCTTACTCCTTTTGGCTAACACTCACTAGTGCCCTAACAAAAGGTGCATGGAAGATAATAGCCTTGAGAATTCCCACATCCGCAAAAGCCTTTGTGTTCGTATTTAGCTAAAGAGTGGTATATCCATCCAACGGTGAAAAAAATCTCTTCACGATGAAGGAAAGAAAGTGCATGTTACCTTCTACCTCTGCCCCCGATCACGATGAAGAAAAGAAAGTGCATGTTACCTTCTACCTCTGCCCCTGATCACGATGAAGAAAAGAAAGTGCATGTTACCTTCTACCTCTGCCCCTGATGACTGGGCTTCATCCCAAGTCAAGTCAGTGAGAATCAGTCCTGGAACTTTCATGGGAACTGTCAGGAAACTAGGAAGACTAGCGGACTTGGAGACCTGGCTCATGCCCTCTGTGACTCCCTCAGGGGAGTTTTACTAAGAAAGACGATACAGCAAGAGCGGGACCTGGGCACAGAGAGGGTGGCACAGGTCAAGGTCCTGAATCTCTCAGCATTTCCTTCCTGAAACATGTCCTCCTTGAGCAGACTACTGTGTGCCAAGATGTTCAGTCTTTACAGCTTCATCCATGATTTCTCTGTTGTATCTGCTCCCCAGTGCTCCTAGACCGAGCTGGAACCCAATCTGTCAGTTTGTCACACAGAACACTCCCTTACTCAGCAAACTAAAAACTCGTTCTGTAGGACACTAGCTAGAATTTGCAAAATCTCTCATTAATAGATGCCTATCGCCTCCTCCTCCCTCGTTCCTGGAAATCGCCAGGATATGGCACCTTGTTTTGGCCTGGATGGTTTCTCTCCCCATGCTCAGGTGGGGCTGGCTGACAGCCACTCTAGATACACGCAATTATGTGTCTTTGCTGTTTCCTCATATTTCTGTACCTTGAATTTCCCAATGACAGGAGCCAAGACCTTTTCTTTCCGCCCCAGTCATTTACAGCCAAGTCTCTGGTACTGCCCCACGGGAGTCCTGATCAGAGCTCCCACAAAGTCTTATTCTAGACTCTCAGTGTTCCAGTCTCACATATATTAACACATATGTTTTCTCTTTTTTTAAAGATGTATTTATGCACACAAGAACTGAGGTACAGG